CCTTTTCTGCCATAGGCTTTAGTAGACATTAGGATCTTCAGAAACTAATTTTGAAACAATCCCAGTCTATAATGCCTCTAAAAATATAAAAAGACCAAATACAGAAAGGTACCTTTGTATTGGGGCTATACCAAAACGTGGACCTGCGTACACCATTTTTTACCATACCCATGATGGGTGCTACAACATCAAGATCTTCAAATATAAAATTTGAAACAATTCCGTTGAATAATGCGGCTAATATCATCAAAATACTGAATATTGGCAGGTACCGTTATATGGGGGCTATGCAGGTCCACATGCATAGACAATTTTCCATCATAGGCTGAAGTATCCATTACGAACTTTAAATACGAAATTTGAAACAATTCTTCATCAAAATACCGAACATTGGTAGGTACCGTTATATGGGGGCTATCCGAAGAAGTGTAATTGAATACACAATTTTCTGTCATAGGATTTAGTAGACATTAAGATCTTTAAATACTAAATTTTCAAAAATTTCAGTCTATAATGTCTCTAAAATTATTAAAATACCGAATATCGGGAGGTACCGTTATATTGGGGCTATACCTAAACGTGGACCTGCATACGCCATTTTCCCCCATAGGTTGTAGCACCCATCAACATATAAAATTTGAAACGATTCCGTTGAATAATGCCGCTAATATCATCAAAATTCCGAATATTAGCAGGTACCGTTATATGAGGCCTATACGAAGTCGTGAACCTTCATAGACAATTTTTCATCATAAGTTGAAGTACCCATTACGAACTTAAAATACGGATTTTGAAACAATTCTTCTACAAAATTCCGAATATTGGGAGGCACCGTTATACGGGGGCTATACGAAGACGTGGACCCAGTTTTCCATCATAGGCTGAAGTATCCATTACGAAATTTGTAACAATTCCGGTGAATAATATGGGGAGGTATCATTATATGGGGGCTATATATATGAAAACATGGACCGATATGACCCATTTACGAACTTAACCTGTCTACTGGCAAAATACATAGCTGTGCAAAATGTAAGCTCCCTATCTCATTTCGTTCCAAAGATAGCGTGATTACCACCGACAGACAGACGGACATCGCTAAATTGACTTATAATTTTCGCGCTGTTAGGTCTAACATGAGTATTTCAAAGAAATACAAACGGAATATCAAAATTAATATGCCCTCCACAGTATGGTGGAGAGTATAAAAAAATTCTGAATTTTAAAAATTTTGGCGAAATTTTTAACGGATTTTTTTACATTATAAAATTTAGAGGGTAGGCTTCTTTATTGCTTGTTAGCCTTCATATTACCAAAATTGTTCTAAAAACCAAAAAAAAAAAAATCCCTTCATCCTAGGACTAATATCATACCTAAATGTCTTGCGGGTCATATGTATGCATATTTATTGATAATTTCGAATATTTATGACATAAAATTAAAAGCTTTGACATTTACATTTCAAATACACTCATCATGCTGGCCATTAACATGAAAGAATGTATTCACACTCTGGGCGTATGAGTAATGCAAACCATTACACGTTTAAATTATCCATACGCCACCCAGTGCGTTATGGGCCTATTTTAACAACCACTTTTCCAATTCAATATCTAATTGATCAATCAATAAATTTTGAATATTTATTTCATGCATTCCACTATCACTCCCACCCCATGCTGGCCGTGTAATCCAATACCCTACCAAGGATGTTTGATCCTTATACACACATATCATGTAATGGCTCATACATCTGGCCACATAAAATATGTCCCATTGACCACAAAATTGACACACACACACGTTCACACCAAACATTACCAGAACAGAACAGAGCACATGCCAGTTGTACAAAGCCACACACATGAGTGGACACTTTCCGGACATATGGACAACCAGAACCATTAACGCAAATGTACTAATGGTTGGAGATGATATTGGAAGGAAGATGGGGAAGGCGTCTCGGGGCGAAGGGATGGGGGATAAATGTTGTTATTCTTATGTTCATAAACTGTAAGTGAACAAATGGACAGACGGACGGAAAAGCAGACAAACGCATATGACCATTATATGCTGGAGAAAAAAGAACAATATTTTTTATACCCTCCAGCATACTATGGAGGGTATATGAACGTTGTCATTCCGTTTGTAACTCCTCGAAATACTGATGTCAGACCCAACAAAGTATATATATTCTTGATCAGCGTAAAATTCTAAGTCGATTTGGCGATGTTCGTCTCTCCGCCTATCTGTCTGTCTGTCTGTTGTAATCACGCTATCTTTCTAACGAATTGAGATAGAAGGCTAAAATTTTGCACAAATGTCTATTTCTCAAGTAGACAGGTTAAGTTCGTAAATGGGCCATGTATAATATAACGGTACCTCCCGATATTGGGTATTTTGATGATATTAACGACATTATTCACCGGAAATGTTTCAAATTTGGTATTTGAAGTTCGTAATGGATACTACAGCCTAAGACAGAAAATTGTCCGTGTAGGTCCACGTCTTCGTATAGCCCCCATATAACGGTACCCCCCATTATTCGGTATTTTGATGATTTTAGCGAAATTATTCACCGGAATTGTTTCATATTTGGTATTTGAAGTTCGAAATGGATACTACAGCCTATGACAGAAAATTGTCTGTGCAGGAGCATGTCTTCGCATAGCCCCCATATAACGGCACCTCCCTATATTCGGTATTTTGATGATTTTAACGACATTATTAACTGGAATTGTTTAAAATTTGGTATTTGAAGTTCGTAATGGATACTAAGGCAGAAAATTGTCTGTGTAGGTCCACGTCTTCGTATAGCCCCCATATAACGGTACCTCCCGATATTCGATATTTTGATGCTTTTAACGACATTATTCACCAAAATTGTTTCAAATTTGGCATTTGAAGTTCGAAATGGATACTACAGCCTAAGACAGAAAATTATCTGTGCAGGTCCACGTATTCGTATAGCCCCCATATAACGGCACCTCCCTATATTCGGTATTTTCATGATTTTAGTGACATTATTAACCGGAATTGTTTCAAATTTTGGTATTCGAAGTTCGAAATGGATGCTACAGCCTAAGACAGAAAATTGTCTGTGCAGGAGCATGTCTTCGTATAGCCCCCATATAACGGTACCTCCCGATATTCGGTATTTTTATGATTTTAGCGACATTATTCACCGGAATTGTTTCAAATTTGGTATTTGAAGTTCGAAATAGATGCTACAGCCTATGACAGAAAATTGTCTATGCAGGTCCAGGTCTTCGTATAGGCCCCATATATCAGTACCTCCCTATATTCGGTATTTTGATGATTTTAGCGACATTATTAACCGGAATTGTTTCCAATTTCGTGTTTGAAGTTCGGAATGGATACGACAGCCTATGACAGAAAATTGTCTGTGCAGGTCCACGTCTTCGTATAGCCGCCATATAACGGCACCTCCCGATATTCGGTATTTTGATGATTTTAGCGACATAATTCAACGGAATTGTTTCAAATTTTGTATTTGAAGTTCGTAATAGATACTACAGCCTATGACAGAAAATTGTCTCTGCAGGTCCACGTTTTCATATAGCCCCTATATATCAGTACCTCCTTATATTCGGTATTTTAATGATTTCAGCGCCATTGTTCACCGGAATTGTTTCAAATTTGGTATTTGAAGTTCGAAATGGATACGACAGCCTACGACAGAAAATTGTCCGTGCAGGTCCACGTCTTCGGATAGCCCCCATATAACGGTACCTCCCTATATTCGATATTTTAATGATATTAACGACATTATTAACCCGAATTGTTTCAAATTTGGTATTTGAAGTTCCAAATGGATGCTATAACCTAAGACAGAAAATTGTCTGTGTAAGTCCACGTCTTCGTATAGGCCCCATGTAACGGTACCTCCCGATATTCGATATTTTGATGCTTTTAACGACATTATTCACCAAAATTGTTTCAAATTTGGCATTTGAAGTTCGAAATGGATACTACAGCCTAAGACAGAAAATTATCTGTGCAGGTCCACGTATTCGTATAGCCCCCATATAACGGCACCTCCCTATATTCGGTATTTTCATGATTTTAGTGACATTATTAACCGGAATTGTTTCAAATTTTGGTATTCGAAGTTCGAAATGGATGCTACAGCCTAAGACAGAAAATTGTCTGTGCAGCTCCGCGGCTTCGTATAGCCCCCATATATCGGTACCTCCCTTTGTTCGATATTTTGATGATTTTAACGACATTATTAACCGGAATTGTTTCAAATTTGGTATTTGAAGTTCGAAATAGATGCTACAGCCTAAGGCAGAAAATTGTCTATGCAGGTCCAGGTCTTCGTATGGGCCCCATATATCTGTACCTCCCTATATTCGGTATTTCGACGATTTTAGGTACAATACCCACCGAAATTGTTTGAGATGTCGTATGTGAAGTTCGTAATGGATTCTACAGCCTGTGACAAAAAATTGTCTATGCTGGTCCAGGTCTTCGTATAGCTCCGATATATGCGGTACCTCCCTATATACAATATTTTAATGATTTTAGCTACATTATTTACCGTTTATATCAAGTTTCGAATTTGAATATGGTAATGGCTTATGACAAACAATGCCTCTGTAGGTCCACTTCGTATAGACCCCAATATAACGGTTATATTCAGGATTTTTAAAATGTTAACAGAATTTTTTAAGGATTTTATTTTTTTTAAATTTCAAAATTCGTTCCAAATGCTGAAGAGTATTCAAATTTCGGCCCGGCCGAACTTACTGTTTTTTTTTACTTGTTTTCTTTTCGATTTCATTCTACCATTTGCTTTCGAACATTTGTTGTTTGCCAACATGTTTGTCATTCACCAATGTGGTTTTTCATTGTTTATTTGTTTATATTGTTGATATGTAAATGTGTGTGTATGTTTGTACTTAATTTTTGTGTGTTTTTCTCTCTTCTCATCCTCTCTCTTTCTTCCCTTTCTCTTGTTAAACGCCTCTTTACAGGCCTATGATAGCCGCCAATTGATGGTCACATTATTCGTATGCCTTTGGGGCGCCCGTCTATCCGGTTATCTGCTGTATCGCATTGTCAAACTGGGCCGAGACAAACAATTCGATGATACACGTCGCAACATCATACGATATGCGGTCTTTTGGACATTTCAGGTATGTGTCGAGTCGGAGAGACAGACGACAGTTCGACAATTACCACAAAACTTAATTGAAAATGAATTGTTGTTATTGTTGTTGCTTTTTTGGTTTTTAGGCTGTTTGGGTTTATATTGTCTCGCTGCCGGTTATTATCATCAATTCGCCACGTCATTCCCAGCCCAATGCTCCGAAAACAATGACAACATTGGATTCCGCCGGCACAGGCATGTTCATTGTGGGCCTGCTGGCCGAAACCTATGCCGATTTGCAGAAATTCTCATTTCGCCAGGATCCCGCCAATCAGGGGAAATTCTGTAATGATGGTAAGTTGAAATGATTTGAATAAAAATTGAATTGATACAGAGGCAATAAATGTTATCCGAAATATACAAAGGAAAAAATGTATTACATTCATGATTTTTATACCCTCTATCATTCTATGGAGGTTATATTAGCTTTGTCATTCCGTTTGTAACTTCTCAAACTTCTAGGACGATCTAGCGATGTCCGTCTATCTGTCTGTCCATCTGTCCGTTTGTCTGTTGTAATCACGCTACCTTTCGAACGAATTGAACGAATTATTCGTCCAAATAGGTTGTAAATGGGCCATGTTGGTCCACGTCTTCGTATAGCCCCCATATAACAATACCTCCCGATATTTGGTATTTTGATGATTTAAGCGACATTATTCACCGAAAATGTTTCAAATTTGGTATTTGAAGTTCGTAATAGATATTACAGCCTATGACAGAAAATTTTTTGTGCAGGTCCACGTCTTCGTATAGCCCCCATATAACGGTACCTCCCGATATTCGGTTTTTTGATGATTTAATCGACATTGTTCACCGGACTCGTTTCAAATTTTGTATTCGAAGTTCGTAATGGGTACTACAGCCTATGACAAAAATCTCTGTATGCAGGTCCACGTCTTCGTATAGCCCCCATATAACTGTTTTCTTTTTCAGATTTTTTTTTTTTTTTTTGGAAAAATTTCAAGTTCCTTCCAAATGGTTGAGGGTATTACAAGTTCAGCCCGGGCGAACTTTGCTGCTTTTTTACTTGTACTAAATATTCTTTGAAAAACTATGGCTTACTCCAAGGCCTCAATTCTTGTTCTATGAAAATGTGAAATGTTTAGATTTGTTCGAATTGGTCACCTTTAACACGAATTATGGCCTTCAAACGGCCAATGAAACCGTCACACGCTGCTCGAATGTTGCTCTGCGGTATTTTGGCCCATTCGCGGCGAAGCGCTTACTTGAGGTGATCGACACTTTGGTATTTTTTAGTGCCAACCTTGCTTTCCAAAATACTCCAGACACAATAGTCCAGCTGACCTCTTTGACAAGTAGAAAGCCGATCATTTTGTTTGTTTACAAACTGCTGGACAACGAATGTTTTCTCATCGGAGACGGAGAAAAACAAATTCGACAGTTCACCACTTTTGGCTCTTTTGAGTCTATTTTCCTTCTGTTGCGGTGTAAGTTCTTGCACTTTTTAGAATTTCAATGGCTTTACCCCGAGCTCATTTTTTAATATTTGCCGAATGGAATATTCAGCTCACGAGACATTTTTCGGCCACTGCGGCGCGGATTTCGATCAAGTCGCTTCTTTACTTTTCGAAACATTTCTGCTGATGTTCTGCTTGACTTCGGCTACGCTACCAGTATCACGGTAACGAGCGGTGGTACAAGACACAAAAGACCTATTCACATTAAAATTCCGGAGTGCTCTAACGATAGCCAATTGTGGTTTTCCAGTCAAATATAAAGAAATCACCCTCCATCACGAATAATTTTTTTTCTGGAAAGTTCTCACCGAAATGCTTTTGTACGTTTATAAACAATATAATGCGCTGTCACTGGAATAATTTCAACAGCTGTCGGACGAGTGGCTTAGAAATGACAGCAGTCTGATGTTGGTTGCATTTTTTTCATCTCACCCTGTATATAGCTCTATATTTAGATTAGGTTAAGTTAAAGAATGCACACAGCCACTCGAAACCTGCTGCTCCATTGTGTTCATCCTAAGGTTTAAGAAAAAATTCGAAGAGATAATCGGAAAAAAAAAACAAAGAGAAAAGGATGATGTGTCATCCATGGAGATATTGGTGTGTCATCTTTACCCACTTTAATCTTCTGGCTTACAGTAGCATGATTGCTGGTTAGAAGCATGACTGCTAGTTACTTCCGGAGAATGAATAGAAATCGTTCAGAATTTCCCGATAAGTCTAGAGTTGAGCAGTGGTAGAGTTAATGCTTTTCCGTCTCAATTTCCACATCATCCTGACAGAGCCTGCAGTAATTGGTGTTGTCGTCAGCCCATTTAGAAGTCATTACACTCATGTTACAGTAACCTGCGATCATTCTCACCACCAAGTTTTAGGCCTGATTTCGCCATGGATATGAGCGACCTTCATCTCTTCTCAGAGAGTACCAGCCTAATTTTCATAGAAACATTGCATACCCTTCCACATAGCCAGTTTCTTGAAATTTCCCGGAGTAAAGTTTACATATCACTCGGAAGAAATGCCACAATGGTGACTTCACCGAACTCTCGATTTCTAAATTGATTGACTCGGATCCGAACCTTGCCAATTCATCCTTGAAAAAATATTTAAAAAAAATTAAATCTAAAAAAATTTATATTTATTTCCATTTGTTTTCCAGGCCTTTGGCGTCTCTCCCGTCATCCCAACTATTTTGGTGAGGTTGTCATATGGTGGGGTATATTTGCCATATCCCTGAATGTTATATCCGGCCATGAATGGGTGGCCATTGCCTCACCGATATTTACCACATTCATTATTCTCTTCTTGTCGGGCATACCTTTGAGAGAAAGATCGGCTGATGAAAAATATAGAGAGTAAGTACAAAGTAATTTTAAAAAAATAAAAAAGTACGCAATTCTACAAAGATCCTGTTCAGGACCAATATTCCTTTTTCTGAAATTTAAAAAATTAATTTAAAATAATTTTTATATTTTTTTTTCTCTTCACCTCCATCCCCCCACTACCAGTCAACTGGAATATCGTAAATACAAAGCCTCCACCTCACCGCTGATACCCGTACCGCCTGCCATCTACGTCGAAGTCCCAGCCGCATTAAAATTCATACTCTGCTGTGAGTTTCCCATCTACGACACGATGCAAATACAGAAGGACATTAGCCCCTATTCACTGTCCATCGCCCGTTCACATTCGCACATATAGCAGTCAATTGCCCACTCCGGCAGTGGGCAACCCGTCCATGGCGGCACTGTGGGCCATAGTCTGCATAAATATGGTGAATCTGGGTCGGTGCATAGGGGTCATTGTTATGGTGCTAATGGAGGTGATCCTGAGAATCACATGAATTGTGGCGGCAGTTGTCGTAATTCCTATGTGAAGAGTGCCAATCCGTATCAGAATGGCTCAGGATATGCCGCCAGTTATGCCTGTAATCCCAATGATATGTCGTCGCATCATTCGTTTCATCATTCGACCACCGCACACTACAATCAGTCGCAACAGCTACAACAGCAACAGCATTATCACAATCCATCCCATCACCATCATCCGCATCCGCATCATCATCATCAGCACCAGCAATTAGTGGCCACCACCACCAACAACAACAATAATCACAACAAATCGCTAGACGGCGATGATGACACCGATGATGGTATCATTTATATGCCGGGACCAGCATCTTCCAAGAAACAGCCACACTATTTCCCGGCACCCACCCAGCCCATGGACACCTTTGAGGAACCCTCTTCGTCCATCATCGATGTTGACGAACAGGGTGAGGGTGATGTGCCAGCGGACTATGATGAGGACATACCTCCGATCGATCTGAGTAAACCGCCCAGTTTGCAAAGTTTTACGAACAACATTCGAACCGAGAAGGAAGTACAAATTAATGCCGATGGTAAACCGATTACGGTAACGACAATATTGTGATTTCATTTCTCAGCGCTGTTACTAAACCCGAGGCTCGTCTGCGTCACCTTTAGCGTTGGCGGCCGCGTCAGCGTCGACGTCATCATTATTGTAATAAGTGTAATGCGATTAATTGACGTTACGACAATTGACCGTAACCCAAAATGTAAAGACGTTAATTGTTTATAACACGCAACATACATTCCTATGCATGTATGTATGTATGTGTGTGCGTGTATGTATGTATGCATGTTTTGTATGCTTAGCCATTTAGCCAATCACCTGCAATCGGATGATTGATTGTTCAAAACTCACACACACACAGGATAAGGAAGAAAATCATGTACAAGTGGGGGAAGGAATGGTATGCATGGAGAATTGTTTTAAAAGATTTGAAAAAAAAAAAAAATATTGAAATAATTTATATATTTGTTTCAGTAAAACGCCAAGTTAGTTAAGCAAGACACAGAACTTAAGCTCAGCGATTTTTAAGTTTCAATTATTTATTTGTTTTTTACAAAAGACAGACAGCATTAATGACAAACACGTATTAAGGGAAATAGTTCATATATACATATGTACCAAAAAATATGTTAAAATGGAACACCTTGGATCATCAGATAAATGGCTGGAATGTGGAGGAGATATTTACATCACGGATTCACAAGCAGAGAATAATTATTTTTTCAGGTAAATTCATTTTCGGGTAGATAGTTCGGTTGCTGCTGTTAAGTGAATTTGAAAACTATTTTATATCCCAATACAAGCCTCTTTTAGACCATAAAGTCTAACCTCCTTCAGGTCCCGCAGGTATTATAACTTGTTGTAATTTTTCTTCTCAAAAAAATTTTTGCTGTCAGTTTGGGAAAATCTAACTTTGGGGCTATAGATACATATTTTTTTAGAAAAAAAATTAATTTTTTTGCCCAATAGATTACTTTAAGGCTTTCGGTTAAAGACCTAATGAGTAAATTTACGCAACTCTTAAAAATATACTTTATTTTTACGGATTTCACACACAATGTTATACCAACATTAGGTGTGTTCGATAACTTTTCCACTAAAAATTACTCAGATAGTTTGGCTCCTGCTGTTATGTGAATTTATGAACTTTCTGGCCGGAAGCTCTAACCTCCTTCTGTTCATAATTTTAATATTACATTTCATTGGAAAGACTTTTTTACAGGTTCCACAGGTTAGGTATTGTAACTTGTTATATTTTTTTCTCAATTTTTTTATCTTTTTTTTTTTTTTTTGAAATCCTAACTTTGGTGCTATCGATACATATTTTTTGAGAAAAACATAATTTTTTGCCCAATAGATAACTTTAAGCCTTTTGGCCTAAGAGCTTATGAGGATATTCACGCAAATCCTAAAAATAGACTTTATTTTTACGGATTTCACTCACAATGTTATACTAACATTAGGTGTGTTCGATAACTTTTCCACTAAAAATTACTCAGTGACTTGCACGAAGAGAATTTTCTCTCTTACCTACAAATATTTGAAAAAGATAGTAATTAAATTCAGCAAAAAATCTGCTGCTTCCCAAAATGTAAGGATATACTTTTTAAAATTGTTGAGGAAATCGAATCAGAATTGCGATTTTTATAATGAAAAATTAATAGTATAATATATAATGTGGTTACTTACCCTGTGATATTTTCCTACCCTGTCGATCTAGCGATGTCCGTCCGTTTGTCTGTCTGGCAGGTGCGCACGATAACTCTCGAAGGGAGTATCCGAATTGGTCCAAACTGGGTATATCGTAATATTTTTGTCAAACTTAGATCGAGTTGGGAGATGGGCAATATCGGTTCACTCCTTCCGATACCTCTCAAAATTTCCAAAAAATATATTTTTTGCGCAGAAAGAGAAAGGATAATTCGATTTTGCTCCAACTTTGCAAATCCAAATATATGCATCAGTGCTAGGTCAGGTGTGAATATGGACAATATCGGTCCACTCCATCATGTACCTCCCCCACAAATTTTGAATAATTACAACTCTCATAAAATTTGATGTAAGAGTCGAACTTTCTTCAAATTACACACATCACAATATTTATTTTAACCCAATGTCTGGTGTGAAGATGGGATATATAGGTCCCCTCTTTCTGGTACCCACCCCACAAAGGCCGACATTTTAATTTTTTTTTTTTTTTTTTTTTTTTTGCAGAGAAAGAGAAACGATAATCCGATTTTGTCCCAACTTTGCAAATCCTAATATTTGCGTCAGTTCTAGATCAGGTACAAATATGGACAATATCGGTCCAGTCCATCAAGTACAACTCTTATAAAATGTAATGTAAGAGTCCGATTGTCTTCAAATTTCACACATCACAATATTTTTATTAGCCCAAGGTGTGGTGCCAAGGTGGAATACATCGGTCCACTCCTGCTGGTACCTCCATCACAAAATGTCAAAATTTGCAAAAAATGTATTTTCTACACAGAAAGAGAAACTATAATCCGATTTTGATCCAACTTTGCAAATCCTAATATTTGCGTTAGTTCTAGGTCAGGTGCAAAAATGGAAAATATCGGTCCACTCCATCAAGTGCCTCTCCCACAAAATGTCGAAATTTTGAATATCTCTTAAACTCATAAAACTTGGCATATCTGAATATTTCTATCAACACAGGATCTGTTATAAAGATGGTAGAGAGCGAACCATTTCTTCTGGAAATTGCCCGACAAGGGGTCAAAGTTTTGAATAACCAAAACGTTTTTAAAATCCGAAATAATCATCAGGTTATCTTTATATTTCACACATCTCATTATTTCCACTAACAGAATATCTGTTGTGAAGATGGGATATATCGGTCCATTATTTCTGGTACCTCCCTCACAAAGGTGTTAAAATATTGAATAACTATGAAGCTCATAAAACGCGAAATGAGCATCCGATCATTTTTAAAGTTGGTACATTCCAATATTGGTCCACTCCTTTTGGTACCTCCCTCACAAAGGGTCAACATTTTTGAATATCCAGAATTCTCCGATTCTCTTCAAATGTCACACATTCTAATATTTTTATTAAAATAAGATCTGGTGTGAAGATGAAACACCACCCCGTCTGGTACCTCTCCCCCAAAAGGCTCAAACCCCCATAAAGGGTTAACAGTTTGGATAATCATAACGCAAGTCAAAATATATTTAAATAAACCTACAGGGGCTGAGGGTATGTATCTGTCGGCAAAACCGATTGATACTTTTTAACTTTTTTTTGGAAATTTGCAGATTCAAATCGTTTGGAATCCACGCATGACATTGTATCATTGGCAATGCTACTGATAATAATACGAGGATCATTTTCTTAAAATATTGTTGGCGGCCAAAAAAGGATTTTTGACTCATTTTTTTTTCCAAAAAAAATGACTAAAAATTCCCTTAAAACGGCATCGTAGAGAGTCAAAATAATTTACAAAATTATTCATTATTAAATTCTACTATAGGTCCTAGAAGACATCAAAAGTCTACATCTTATTATTGTAAATATACAAATGGGAACCTATTTTAATGCCGTGAAATTTGCCAAGAAAAATTAAGAAAATGCAGAGATGGCGATGCTAATTTGAAATGACTTTACCTTCGTATTTTGACTCTGCTATGAAATAAGACTTTTGCATTTTGGGGCAAAATAAATTAAGCTTTGATGCAATTTATTTCGTGAACATTTTAGCCGTTTCCTATTTCAATTGAAATTTTAAAATTTAAATTTTTATTAGAAAAAAATCTCCTCCACATTCCAACCATGTATCTAGGTATTGGTAAAGTGTTCTCTGGCTATACTTTATAGTATCATTGTTATTTATGCATATCAAATGAAAATCCAATAAGTTGTTTTATATTTAAATGACATAACAAAAATAGAAGAAAACTTGAAATTATTTTTATTTATTGTTGGTGTCTATTAAAAAAAATAAAGAAATGTATTATCTAACAAATATATTTAAGTACTGTAGAAAAAAAAACTTTGATATTAATTTGTTTATAAATAAAATACTACCTAAAAACAAGATTTTTGCTCTTGTAATATTAACTCTTTAGCGACAAGTTTTAACACAAAATGCTCATTAGGTTCAACTACTGTAACCGCTGAAACAAAAAAAAAAAACAACTATCTTCTGTCCACCCTCTATTCCTAGAACTCGAAATTTTTGTTAACTATTACAACTACTAGAAGAAATTCCTATAACAAACCTAGCTTTCTCTTTTATAAATATAAATTGTTAATAACTATAGAAATATTTAAATGAAGACGAAAAAGTAATACCCTTGTTAATTTTGAATCAATAGTTATGAATTTGAAATGTTAACCTACTACTACTAATTCAATATTGCTTTCATTTTGTTTGTTAATTTCAAATTTCAACTCTATGGAAGGCTTAATAGATGAAAATTAAAAAAAAAAACAACTATTTAATAAAAAGTGCCAAAGTTTATAAGAAAATTAAAAAATTATTATGGTTAATTGTAGCGAAAAAGAATTCTAATTAAATATTCATTTAATGGGCTTGTTGGATCTCTAAAATAAAACTAAATTGCTTTACTAAAAAAAGACAAAAGAACAAAAAAATACAAAAATAAAATAAAAACTAACTTCAAATGCTATTATAAAAATAAAATTAATAACTATAACTAAATTGTACTACTTGTGCCTCATCTATAAAATAATAAATAAAAAAAAAAAAACAATAAAAAGAACAAGTAAAAAACATTAAGTTCGGCTGGGCCGAACATTCAATACCCTCCACCTTAGGCTGAAGAAAATATGGTTATATAAAAATATCTGAATTCAAGCGTGTTAAATTAAATTTATCAAAAAATCGTAAAGAGAGTGAGGCCGTTATATGGGGCCATACCAAAACTGGAACCTCTCTGGGCAATTTTATACTTCAAGGATTGCTATCTGTCAAATCTTCTAAGATACCAAATTTAAAACAATTATGTGGGTAAATGTGACTAGGATTATCAAAATACCGAATATCGGTTGGTATAGTTATAGGTGCGCTTTAGGAAAACGTGGAACTAAATATTCAATGTTTTGCCACCGGAGCTAGAACTTATTGTACCCTACAAATATCAATTTGTAGACAAATCCGTGGAAAAAATGTGGCAAAAATCCTCAAAATACCGAATATCGGGAGGAGTCGCTATATGGAGGCTATAGCAAAACGTGGACCTATACCATCAATGTTTCGCCACACGAGCTAGATCCCATTATGACCTACATATACCAATTTCTAAACAAATCCGTAAAAAAAATGGAGCAAAAATCATCAAAATACCGAATATCATGAGGTACCGTTGTATGGGTCTATACCAAAACGTGGACCAATACATACAATTTTTCGCCACACGTGCTAGAGCGCATTATGAACTACAAATACCAATTTTTAGACAAATCCGTGGAAAAATGTGGCAAAAAGCATCAAAATACCGAATATCGGGAGGTACCGCTGTATGGGGTCTATACCAAAACATGAACCTATACGTACAATTTTTCGCCACACGCGCTAGAACCCATTAATAAACATAAACAAAAGATCTGTTATAAAATGATACAGATCGGAATATTTCTTCTGCTACCTGCTCCACACAGGGTTCAAGATTTTTAAAAATCATTCCTACTGGTATCTCCCTCACAAGAGTCAAAGTTTTTAATAACCAAAACGATCACAAAATCGGAAATAAGTATTCCGCTCTCTTTTCAAATTACACACATCGCAATATTTTTATTAACACAAGGTCTGATGTGAAGATGGTACTTCCCCCACATAGGGTCAAAATTTTTAATATCCATGAGGCTCATAAAACGCAAAATTAACATGCGATTCAATTCAGACTTGGTACATCTCAATATTTCTATCAACACAATATCTGTTATAAAGATGGAAGAGATCGAACCATTCCTTCTGGTACCTCCCCCACAAAAGGTCAAAGTTTTGAATAACCAAAACGATGAAACGAAATCCAAAATAAGCATCCGGTTCTTTTCAAATTACACACATCGCAATATTTTTTATAATCCTAGCCCTGGTGTGAAAATGGAATATATCTGTCTCTTTATTCTGGTACCTCCCTCTCTAAGCGTCAAAATTGTGATTATCAATGATGCTCATAAAACGCGAAAATAATATCCGATTCCATTCAGACTTGGCACATCTCAATATTTCCATCAACGCAAGATCTGTTATAAAGATAACATTATAAAAATTATAACCTACAAATACCAATTTTTAGACAAATCCGTGAGAAAATGTGCCAAAAAGCATCAAAATACCAAATATCGGGAGGTACCGTTATATGGCGGCTACACCAAAACGTGGATCGATATATCTCATTTTCAAATCCAACCATACTAGACACAATACAAATTGTTCTACAAAAATTTTGAAGGTCTACGTCAAATAATTAGGGCTGTATCGTGATTTCAACAGACAGACGGACAGGCAGGCGGACAGACAGACAGACGGACATCGTTAAATCGACTTAGAATTGTATGCTGATTATGAATATATATACTTTATGGGGTCTACGATGAATATTTAAGGATGTTACAAACGGAATGACAAAGTTAATATATTAATAATTTCCAAGGTGGAGGGTATAATAATAAAAATTGAAAACCTAGAAATTGTAGTTTGCCTATGTTTTAAATCCGAATAACAATTGCCGTTTGAAAAAAACAATTAAATTATCTAAGAATTACAAACCTATATATGCATATATTTTCAATTACAAAACTGAACTCAAGTAATACAACAACAACAAGAAATATATCAATACAACAGTAATAACAATAACAAAAGAGGTTATATATTTTTTGTAACGGACAAAAGAAAAAGATATTTTCTTAACTCTTATATTTATAGTTTAAAGAACTAAAACAAACAAACAATTATGGAAATTTGCACCCACCCACCCAAAAGAATAAAAACAACAAGAATAAGAACAACAACAACAACAAAAAGCACCACTACCACAAAACATATGTGAATGAATGTATGAAAAAACCAAAAACAACAAAAAAAATAAAGGAAACCAATGTTAATTCAATTATTAATAACGACAATTTTAAATTAAATAAAAATATTATTTAGCTATACATAAAATTCAAAAAAAAAGTCAAAAATAAATACTCTTAAGTACCTAAATTTATTGTATACAATAACAAGAAAGGATAACAACAACAATTTTACAAAAAAATAAAAACATAACATAAAAATTCCATTTCATTAATGTACAAAGCAGAGGACAGTGGTTTCAAAATGTAAACGTCAGGGCTTGATACCCATAGTTTAGTTTAGTTGGCCCCATTTTACAAAGGTCTGCTCTCCTTCCTCAAATTGACTAAATATTTGGACACCAGTGTGACATCTCTTAGCGGGGTGAGTATGTCGACAGGATTTCTCATTTCTCTCACCGTAGATCAAAGTCTACGTCCTATCAATTTATGACCGTAAACAATAAAAGTGACAATGTTTTTTCGTCTTTCCACATTCAATCCCGCTCTCCAATATCTAATCCTTCTTTCTACTCCATCTCTTTGTGTCAATATTTATTCCCTCAGCCATGTGGCTATAGAGGGTATATATCATTTGATACGGTCAAAACGTGCCCAGTCGAAATAACGGTTTTAGACCCTAGGTCTCTTTGGACCAAATCCATTTCAGAACATTTGGAGTCGATTTAGTGATGTCCGTCCGTCCGTCTGTCTGGCTGGTGCGCACGATAACTCTCGAAGGGAGTATCCGATTTGGTCCAAACTTGGTACATCGTAATATTATTATCAAACTTAGATCGTGTTCGGAGATGGGCAATATCGGTGCACTCCTTTTGGTACTTTCCCCACAAAAAGGCCAAAATTTTTAAAGAAAATAATGTACTGCATAGAAAGGGAAAGGATAACACGATTTTTACCCCTACTTCGCAAATCTGAATATTTCCGTCAGTGCTAGGTCAGGTGCGAAAATGGACAATATCGGTGAACTCCATCCAGTACCTACCCCACAAAGGGTCATCATTTTGAATAATTATAACTCTTTGTAAACTTTGATGTAAGAGTTCGATTATCTTCAAATTGCACACATCACAATTTTTTTTATTAACCCAAGGTCTGGTGTGAAGGTGGAATATATCGGTCCACTCCATCAAGTACCTCCCCCACAATGGGTCATCATTTTGAATAATTATAACATTTATAAAATTATGATCTGAGAGTCCGAATGTCTTCAAATTACACACATCAAACAATATTTTTATTAACCCATGGAACATATCGGTCCACTCCTTCTTGTACCTCCCACACAAAGGTTCCAAATTTGGAACATTCTCGAAGCTCATAAAATGCGAAATTAACATTCGATTCAATTCAGACTTGGTACATCTCAATATTTCCGTCGACACAAGATCTGTTATAAGGATGGAAAAGATCGGACCATTCCTTCTGGTACCTCCCCCACAAAGGGTCAAATTCGAAATAAGCATCCGGCTCTCTTCAAATTTCACACATAACAATAATTTTATTAACCCATGATCTGGTATGAGGATGGAACATATCGATCCACTTTTTCTGGTGCCTCCCCTACAAAGGGTTAAAATTTTGAATATCCATGAAACTCATAAAACACGAAATGAACATCAGATTAAATTCAGATTTGGTACATCGGAATATTTCTATAAGCACAAGATCTGTTTTAAAGATAGTGGAGATCGGATCATACCTTCTGATACCTCTCCCACAAAAGGTCAAAGTTGCGAATAACCAAAACGATTATAAAATCCGATATAACCATCTGGTTCTTTTTAAATTAAATACATCACAATATTTTTATGAACCCAAGGTCTGGTGTAAAGATGGAATATATCGGTCCACTCCTTCTGGTACCTCTCCCACAAAGGGTCTAAATTTTGAATTTGAAGCTGAAGAATATTCATGAAACACGAAATTAACATCCGATTCCATTCAGACTTGATACACTTTAATATTTCCATAAACACAAGATCTTTTATAAAGATGGTACAGATCGGACCACTCCTTCTCCTTCTTCCAAAATATCAAGATTTTGAATATTCATGAAGTTCATAAAACACGAAATTAACATCCGATTCCATTCAGACTAGGTACATCTCAATATTTTTATCAACACAAGATCTGTTATAAAGATGATAGAGATCGGGTCAATTCTTCTGGGGTTTATTCCCGCACAGGGTTTAAGATTTTGAAAAACAAAACGCTCAAAGAAAGCGACGAACTAACTTTCTTCAAATTTTGCACATCCAAATATTATTGCTCTGTTGTGAAGATGATATATATCTGCAAACCCCTTCTGGTATCTCAACCACAAAGGATCACAATTTCCAATACTCATATCTGTCATAAATTCGGAAACAAGTCAGCGATTCTTGCTATATCAAAATATTTCCCTAAGCGGAAACCTGCTATAAATATGTAATTTATCGGAATTGATTATTTCGCATAAAATTGAATGTAAATGTTCGATTTCCTTCCGAAATTTTGCCCATACCAATATTTTTATCTGTATTAGCTGAGGTATGAAAATGGAATACTTCGGTCCGCTATATCTGTTACCCCTCGCATATTTCCACATTTTCCAAAAATTTGCACATATCGCATACAAAGTATAGGAAGCAGTCGATATAGTCCAAATCTGCAACGTTTTAATATTTACATCAGTCTTAGGTATAGATACGAATTGGTCAATAATGGCCAATTGTTTGGAACCTCCCCCATAAACGGTGGAACAGTTTGAATAATCATAACTCATGGCTGGGGGTATACATCTATCGGCAAAACCTACTGATACGGTTTAACATTTTATTTTAAAAATTATGTAAATGTCGAAAGAATCGACTAATGCTATTTTACTTCTTTAAAACTGCACCAATGTAGATCCAGTGACCCTCAATTTTATGTTCTGCAGAAATATCCCCCCTTAACTAAAACCATAATTTTACAAATGAACATTATGTTTTGAAACCACTGTTCTCGTAACTATACAAAAGTAACGAGGCGTACCTTATATCAATACCTATGTGTGTATGTAGTACATAAAATACTCATCTATTCATATACAACAATTATAAAAAATTTCAACACAAAAATACCTACATTGCGTACCTTTTTATTCTCTAATAAAATATCAATGGAAATACTCATAAGGCTTGGTTAACACGATATTGCCGATGGAAATCTAAAAAAACCGGAAAAAAATAATTTAATTCCTTTCGCCCGGCCATTATCCAAACGGAATACTTTTTAAAAGCAACTAACACAAAACTATTAACAACTACAACAAATCTAAAAATAGTATAACTTTTGAAAGTCTAACCCAACAAACAATACCTTAAAGAGCATTATTAACAGTAACGGAGCATATTCAATTTAAACAGCAACAAAAAACAACAACAACAATTAGTACTCAAGCAAAAAAAAATATTTAAAAAAAAATAATATTTTTTAAACAAAAAAAATTAAAATGCATTTCTATAAAAATACATAAAAATCTAAATTCCAACAAATAATTATATGAAATTACCTATCAAACAAATGTAAATAGCTATTATAATTATACATAAATAATAATAATAATATATGTTACATATATAAATCTATATATATTTTTTAAAAACAAAAAATCTCAGTACTTAATTAAACAAGAACAACAACAACAATAATAAATTATAGAGAGAATTATTTAGAGAAACTTTCTTATAAAAATATATATATTATATTTGGTACATACATAATACATATACATATGTACATAAGTTATTAATTAATAAATAACCTAGTGGATTTATATAATAATAATAATCTGAATATATATTTACATAACTTATGTGTATGATGTGTAATATGAATGCTAAGCTATTAAAAAGGAGAAACAAACAACAAAAAATAAAATAAATAAATGAAATTTTAATATTTTAGACAACATCAAAAATGAAATATTGAGTGTTTTGCAATAATTCCAAACGGTTTGGTAAGTTAAGACGTCATAGAAATATTTAATTATTTCGTAATAATCAAGAAACAATCAATTATTTCGTACGAAAATTAAAAATATCCTAAGATTCTGTCTGAGTGAGATTGGCTTTTTTAACTTTTTTAAATGGCGACTTTTGGTGAAAAGTAAGCTTTATAAGAATCATGCATTCCCAAGTGAATGAGAACCATACAAAACTTCTTAAATTTCCCAAAAAAACAAGTAAAAAGTTGTAAGTTTGGTCGGGCAGAACTTTAAATACCCTCCACCATTTGGAACGAATTTGGCAATTCTCAAAAACCATAAAATCCGTTAAAAATTCTGTTAAAATCTTAAAAATACCGAATGCAGCTATTATATTAGGGTCTATATGACGACATGAACCTGCGTAGGTAACTTTTGTCATAAGCCATTTCAATATTTAAATGCGAAACTTAAAAAAAATCGAAACTTAAAATCAAATACCGAATATCGGGAGGTATCGTTATATGGGGGCTTTACGAAGACATGGACCTGCACAAACAATTTTCTGTCGTAGGTTGTAGCATCCATTACGAACTTCAAATATTAAATTTGAAACAATTCTGGTGAAAAATCATCAAAATACCGAATATCGGGAGGTACCGTTATATGGGGGCTTTACGAAGACATGGACCTGCACAAACAATTTTCTGTCTTAGGCTGTAGTATTCAGTTCGAACTTCAAATACCAAATTTGAAACAATTCTGGTGAAAAATGCCCATAAAATAATTAAAATACCGAATATCGGGAGGTACCGTTATATGGGGGCTTTACGAAGACATGGACCTGCACAAACAATTTTTTGTCTTAGGCTGTAGTATTCATTTCGAACTTCAAATGCCAAATTTGAAACAATTCTGGTAGATAATGTCGCTAAAATCATCAAAATACCGAATATTGGGAGGTACCGTTATATATACCGAAACGTGGATCTACATAGCCCATTTTCAGTACCAAAAGTCCTGCAGGCATAACATACATTTGAGCAAAATTTTATCAATCTACTTCAATTCGTTCGGAAGCTGGAGTGATTTCCACAGACGGATAGACGGACGGACATCGCTAAATCGACATAGAATATTATGCTGATCAAGAATATATATACTTTGTGAGGTCTAAAATGTGTATTTCGAGGTGTTGCAAACGGAATGACACACTCAATATACCCTCCATACTATGGTGGAGGGTATAAAAATAATGTAAACTAGTATCTAGTTGGTATTGCCGAGGCCCCAGCCTTGAGTTATGATTATTCAAACTGTTCACTTTTTTAGGGGGAAGGTTACGAAGCTGTTGGACAACATTGACCAATTCGTATCTGACCTAAGACTGATATAAATATTACAAAGTGACAGATTTCGGCTATATCGACTACTTCCTATATTTGATATGAGATATGTGCAAATTTTTGGAAAATGTGGAAATATGCGAGAGGTAACAGATATAGCGGACCGAAGTATTCCATTTTCAAACTTCATCTAATACAGATAAAAATATTGAAATCATAAATGCCGATGAATTACATATTCATATCAGATTTCTGGTTAAGATAAATATTTAGATACAGCAAGTTGTAAAAAATCGCCGACTTGTTTCGCAAGTTATCACAGATATAAGTATTGGAAATTGTGACCCTTTGTGGGTGAGGTATTAGAAGGGGTTGGCAGATATATATCATCTTCATAACAGAACTTGTGTTAGCAAAAAAATTTGGATGTGTGAAATTTGAAGAGATTTGGATCCTTATTTCCACTCCAGAAGGAGTGGACCAGACCTTGGATTAATAAAAAAAATTTATGTGTCTAATTTTATAAGAGTTATAATTATTCAAAATTTTTACCCTTTGTGGGAGAGGCACTTGATAGAGTGGACCGATATTGTCCATTTTCGCGCCTAGCACTGATGCAAATATTAGGATTCGCAAAGTTGGAGCAAAATCGGATTATACTTTCTCTTTCTGTGCAGTAAATTGGTTTCTTTGAAAGTGTTGACATTTTGTGGAGGAGGTACCAGAAGGAGTGCGCCTATATTTCCCATCTCTGAACTCGATCTAATTTTGACAATAATATTACGTTGTACCAAGTTTAGATCAAATCGGATACTCCCTTCGAGAGTTATCGTGCGCACCAGCCAGACAGACAGACGGACGGACGGACGGACATCTCTAGATCTACTCCAAATGTCCTGAAAGGGATTTGGCCCAAAGAAACCTAGGATCTAAAATCTTTATTTCGATAAGGCACGTTTTGGCCGTATCAAATGTTATATACCCTCTTTAGCCACATGGCTGAGGGTATAAAAGAAACATCATAACAAAATATTGCAAAGACTGCCAGCTGTAATATGAAGTTAGGGCAAGATGGGAATACTCCAGACTTAAGCAATCAGTTTTCATTTCTATCAATCTATCAATATCGAACGCGAAAATTCTGCTCAAAGTTTCGGCGTCCTAAATCTAAAAATTTTAAAAAATTCTTCTACAATTTAAACACAAAATTTAATACAACTTAACTAGTTTAAAACAAAATTAAAGAAATAATAACAATTTTCTATACAATTTCTTTAATATCATGACAACAAATAAAACAGACACTTCTCTCATTTAGTTTTAAAAATATATCTGTATATATATTTACTTTTTTCAATTAATTTTCCATTAGAAAAAAAAACTATTTGATAGGTTTCGAGATTTGTTTCGTTTTCAAAAAATAATTAATATAAATATTTATACAAAAAAACAGTAGTAAAGAATAAATTTAGATTACTTTTGAACTTTACAACGAGCTATTTTGTAGAAAAAAACACACGCAGTTTCATATACATTGGCATACATTTTTCGTGTTGTGTTTGTGTTTGATTGCTTCTAAATCCGATATTGTTTTGTGTGAACAGCTTTTTTTTTGCTTAAATTTACCAAATTGCCAAACGTTATCGCAACGATGCGGCTTTTGTCAATACTATGTTAATATCAAGAGGTGGATAGTTTTGCAACAATTTCACATTGCATGCGAAATCATTTTGTAATATTTGATCACGTTGAATTCTATGGGATGAGAAAAAAATTAATTGAAATTAAATGTATATATATTAAAATAGACAATGCGAAGACTCACAAAATCATAGCACAGCAAATGTATAGGAGGAAATCAAAACGTTTCTCATCCGCCAGCACGGAGTCCCAAATGCGCACCACATCGGGTAGGGGAAATTCTTGGGAGAGAATGAGGGATATCCATCTGAAATGATATACAACAACATATATACAATAAAGAACAAAAAAAAAAACCTGACAAATAAACAGAAGAATATTCCAAATTTTTGGAAAAGGATTCTCTTGAAATGTATATGAAACGAATTAAAGAGGGTTATTTTTTAGCAATTATCTTTTTAGCAACACTGGTTTAAATAGCTGACACACGCTTCGTGTTTTGTTTGAACGTGAGGCAATAGAAGGCAACTTTGGGATATTGAAAGAATACAGGGTGAGATGAAAAAACTGCAACCAACTTCAGACTGCTGGTATTTCTAAGCCACTCATCCGACAGCTGTTAAAATTATTCCAGTGACAGCTCATCATATTGTTTACAAGCGTACAAAAGCATTTTGGTGAGAATTTTTCAGAAAAAAAAATTATTCGTGATGGAAGGATGATTTCTTTATATTTGGCTGGAAAACCACAAGTGGCTATCGTTAGAGCACTCCAGCATTTAAATGTGAATGAATCTTTTGTGTCTTGTACCATCGCTCATTACCTTGCTACTGGTAGCGTAGCTCGGTGTCAAGGAAGTGGACGGAAGAAAACAACAACATCAGCAGAAATGGTTCGAAAAGCAATGAAGAGACTTGATCGAAACCCCCGTCGCAGTGGCCGAAATGGCTCGTGAGCTGAAAATATCGCAATATTCCATTCGGCAAATATTGAAATAAGAGATCGGGTTAAAGTCATTAAAATTCAAACAAAATGCAAGCAGTTACACCGCAACAGATAGAAAATAGACTCAAAAGAGCTAAAGAGTTGCTTCGCTTGGCCGAAAGTGGTGAACTGCCGAATTTGGTTTTCTCCGTCTCTGATGAGAAAACATTCGTTGTCCAGCAGTTAAAAAACAAACAAAATGATCGGGTTTCTACTTGCCAAAGAGGTCAGCTGAAAATGTGTACCTTCGGTTGGCCACCAGAACTCAAGCGCCGGCCATGGTGATGATGTGGGCCGCCACAACAGCCGATGGTCGCTATCCGCTCGTGTTAATCGACCGTGTCATCAGAAAAAATGCCGAGTATTATTGCGAAAATATTCTGGAGGGTGTATTAAAGCCTGGGGCACGCAAACATTTTGGCCGCAGACTTTGGATATTTCAACAAGACTCAGCACCATCGCACTCAGCACGCACCACCCAAGAATGGTATCAAAATGAGGTTTCTCGCTTCATTTCCAGCGCACAATAGCCACCAAAATCTCCGGATACCAATCCGTTGGACTATTGTGTCTGGAGTATTTTGGAAAGCAAGGTTGACACTAAAAAATACCAGTGTCGATCACCTCAAGCAAGCGCTTCGCCGGGAATGGGCCAAAATACGGCCGAGCAACATTCGGACAGTGTGTGACGGTTTCATTGGCCGTTTGAAGGCCATAATTTGTGCCAAAGGTGACCAATTCGAACAAATCTAAACTTATTCTATAATTTGATGCTATATCCGACAGTTTTTGCTTTCATTCAATAAAATTTAAAAAAAAATTGTAAAAATCATGACGTTTGACTTTGTTGCAGTATTTTTATCTCACCATGTATGCCAAAATTAGACTGAGCGGATGGATCATATAATGCGGAGTCACGGGCATCATTTTCATGAAAAACCTTCAAACTTTAAAGATTTCATCCATTTTTCTAAATTGTATGCGTTTATGAAGCTTCCAACCCTATTGCCTCGCCACCAAAAGTGGTCAATAAAGGTCCCACATTTGCGATTTTCTTCAAAAAACGATTTTAGCGTTAAATAAGGCAAACTATTCGATGCTCATTTTTCATGGAATTTTACCCTTTTAGCATTTGCAGTATTCTGATCTTTTTTTAGCAACATCAGCAGTATCATTACTCTCACGGCTTATTTAGACGGGTTTTAGAGATCTCAACTAAATGGAATTAAATGTCCACAAATAACTATTGCCTATTGGATCATTAATTTTCCTCTTTTTTGTAACCTATCCATCTTCATTCCGAAAATTCACGGTAGTTTCAATATTGAAACACAATTCATTTCTAATCATAATACAATATTCCAGACACTTATTTCCAAACTAAGAAATCTTCGTTTCTGCAAATGAGAATATAATTTAAAACTATAATCTCATAGCGTCCACATACTCACCTAAAACTATAATATTGTGGATAAAGTTCTTGTGCTTTCAATCGTTCATATACTTCCAAATCACGTTCTTTCAACATTTCCGATAAGCGTTTCATCATGTTTTTAATGCCACCCTCTGAATCATCCAAAGTTTTGATGAAAAAGTCTCGTATTTCGGCCATTAGGGCAGTAAAACAATAGAAGCAATCAGCTTCAGCATGTTCTAGAAATAGAAAAAATATATTAAAATTATAAATCAATAATTTTTAATTGAAACCAAACTCTACCTCTGTACTCTGGATCCGGATCCGAGGCCATGACATAATAAATTGGACCCACAATCTCATTCATACCCTGGACATAACCTTGGCCGGGATTTAGTTTGGCATATAAGAATAAAATACGCTGGACCACTTCCCAGTGGGCCTCTTGGCCTTCATCCATGGCCTTGTAGGTTTCCTCGGAGCGTTTGTTAATTAAATTTATCTACAATATTTAAAAAACTATTAATAAATTGGGTCACTAAGAAAATAAAATCATTTGAATCATAGAAAATGTTTGCAAATACCTGCTGCTGTTATTTTCAACGGAAGGCATGTAAATTACAATTAAATGTTTAATTTATTTTTCTTATCAACACTTGAGATTGCTGACCCCGCAAAGTCATGTAACCTGAAATAATTTGAAATACTTGCAAGTACTTACCTTGGTAACACCCAATCCCTTGCGTTCCACATTGGCCGATTTCAGTACAGAGGGAACAACTCTTTGATGCAGCCGCCTTTCACCTTTACTATTGACCACAATGTCACAGGGATATTCCGTGGGTTGTTGGAAAAACGAAATATCTGGACATAATCTTCTCACATCTTTATCAATTTGCAGCAGGAATTCATTGTCATTGAAGAATGTGTTCCAAGCACTGTCCGGACCCTCATTCAGTGGATGGTCACATAAAATATCTTTATCTCCATTCTCTTTTAGGCCCGGTGGCAATACTAAATCTTCAATGAAGTGGCGATACAATGATCTCTTCTTCGCTAAAGTGCTGGACCAAGATTCCTTTTTTGGACCCAAATAGCCCAGTAATAATTTCCAGCACAGCGGCCGTAGGCTATTAACATCGGGAACACCTAAAAGCGAAAAATGAACACACACATTTTATTTGAAGCATGACGTGAAAGTTGTTCGAATTGTGTATTTTCTTACTTAATTTGGGGGCGACTACAAGTCAGTGCCCCCCAATTTATCATGTTCACTGCTGCATCGCATCACTTACCATTACTGCACAATTGCCTCAACGCTTTCAGGTCGATTTCATCTTTTGCCAGGGTATTCTCGAATTCTTGGACACTTTGGAGAAGCATAAACCCATGGAAGTTGGTTAAATTAATAATTTCAATTTATTTAATTGATAAAAATATATTTATTACTTACCGTGCCTTGAAGATTGACATAGTTTTTAACAACTAATGTTTTGTTTCATTTGTGCGGGGTTGCCATGTCACGCTTCATGATTGATGTTGTGTGGAAGTTGTGGCATCTTTTGAATGTGATAAACAACATTTGTGCAAAAAAGCAAAATAAAGCAAACAGTCAAATGAAATTCAAATATTTAAAAAAAAAATCCCTTGAAATTATATTATTTTGTAAGTAAAATTAATTATTATTTAATGTCATTTGGAAGAAATATTCTTTAATTTGAATGTTGGTTATTTGTCACAAGGCAACCCTGGAAACACAAGTGAGAGAGAGCAATCCACAGTAAATGAAAGAATAACAATAAAAGCATGTTGCCAGATTAGTTGACACTACAATGTAATTTGGGTGAAGAAATTTGTTATTTTATTGTGGGATTTTAGTTAGTAAAATTAAATTTTTATGAATCTTATAGAATTTAATAAATTATTAAAAGAAAAAATAAAAATATTACATAGTACAATTATCCAGCTATTCAATAATGTTATTATTGTAAGGTAGAATGGTAAAATAGGCGATTTTCTTTAGGGAGAAATCGAAAAGTAATGGTGAATTTATTCATTAAAGAAAAATGGGACTAAAGCCCTCAATCCATGAATGATTTAAGAAAATTTATATCTATTGAAATTGAAAGTTTTCTGTTCCTGAATTGTTAAATATTTCAATTAGTCTTGGGACAAGTTACTGCATGACGATTACGAAAGAAAAACACTATTGTTAATAAGTTTTTGAAATTTGTTGTTGCAAAATAGTCAGTCTTAATCCCATTATTTTTGTTTTTATAAAAACAACATTTGTATATTAGTGGAGAAAGACGAGATTTTGAAATTTTTATTTAAAAAAAAAAAAAATTACTTAGAATAGTATTTTTCTTTTGAATTAAATTTTGGAGTGAGTAGTAAAATATCCGAGATATTAACAGCAGAGGGAAAATATATTGTATACTGCTCGAATCTTTGTTATTTTTGGTCGGATTATAAAATTAAAAGAAAAAACAAGTAAAAAAACATTAAGTTCGGCCGGGCCAAACTTTTAATACCCTCCACCTTAGGGTAAAATAAACATTAGAAGAAATGTGGCAAAAACCATTAAAATGCCGATTATGGGGAGGTACCGTAATATGGGGGCTACACCAAAACGTGGACCTATAATTACAATGTTTCGCCACACGAACTAGGACCCATTATGGCCCACAAATACCAATTTTTAGACAAATCAGTGAAAAAATGTGGCAAAAACCATCAAAATACCGAATATCGGGAGGTACCTTTATATGGGGGCTATATCAAATAATGGACCCATGCATGCAATGTTTCGCTACCGAAGCTGGAACCAATTATGACCAACAAATACCAAATTTCAGACAAATCCGTGAAAAAAAATGTGGCAAAAAGCATCAAATTACCGAATATCGGGAGGTCCCGTTATATGGGGGCTATACCAAAACGTGGACCTATAATTACAATGTTTCGCCACACGAACTAGGACCCATTATGACCCACAAATACCAATTTTTAGGCAAATCAGTGAAAAAATGTGGTAAAAACTACCAAAATACCGAATATCGGGAGGTACCGTTATATGAGGGCTATACCAAATCATGGACCCATACATGCAATGTTTCGCCACCGGAGCTGGAACCCATTATGACCAACAAATACCGATTTTCAGACAAATCCGTGAAAAAATGTTGCAAAAATCATCAAATTACCGGATATCTGGAGGTACCGTTATATGGGGGCTATACCAAATTTTGGACCCATACATGCAATGTTTTGCCACACGCTCAGGGACCTGCTATGACCTACAAATACCAATTTTAAGACAAATCCGTGAAAAAACGTGGCATAAATCATCAAAATACCGAATATCGGGAGGTACCGTTATATGGGGACTATACCAGAACGTGGACCGATATATCTCATTTTCAATACCAACCATCCTAGACACAATGCAAATAGCTCTGCTAAATTTTGGAGCTCTACGTCAAATAATGTGGGCTGTATCGTGATTTCAACAGACAGACAGACAGACGGACAGACAGACAGACGGACAGACAGACAGACGGACAACGTTAAATCGACTTAGAATTTTATGCTGATTATGAATATATATACTTTATGGGGTCTAAGACGAATATTTAAGGATGTTACAAACGGAATGACTAAGTTAATATACCCTCCTTTCCAAGGTGGAGGGTATAATAAGCCGACAGATGTATACCTTCAGCCAATGTTCGATTATTTAAATATACAGGGTGAAATAAAAAAAACTGCAACAAAGTCAAACGCCATAATTATACCCTCCACCATAGTATGGAACGAATTGAAGTAGATTGATAAAATTTTACTCAAATGTATATTATGCCTGTGCAGGTCCACGTCTTCGTATAGCCCCCATATTTTAGCTACATTATTCACCGATTTTTTTTTTATCCATTTCGTCGTGTAGACCTTAATATAACAGCTACCTTCGGTTTTGTTTAAGATTTCAACAGAATTTTTAACCGATTTTATTTTTTGAGAATTGCCAAATTCGTTCCAAATGGTGGAGGGTATTCAAAGTTCGGCCCGGCCGAACTTACAGCTTTTTTACTTGTTTTTACATTTTTTTTAATTTTATTGAATGAAAGCAAAAAATGTCGGAAATAGCATCAAATTTAGGAATAAGTTTATATTTGTTCGAATTAGTCCCGTTTGGGACGAATTATGGCCTTCAAACGGCCAATGAAACCGTCCCACGCTGCCCAAATGTTGTTCTGTGGTATTTTGACCCATTCCCGGCGAAGCGCTTGCTTGAGGTGATCGACACTTTGGTATTTTTTAGTGCTAACCTTGCTTTCCAAAATACTCCAGACACAATAGTGCAACGGATTGGAGATCTGGAGATTTTGGTGGCCATTGCGCGCTGGAAATGAAGCGAGGAACCTTGTAACCGTACTTGGGTGGCGCGTGCTGATTTCGATGGTGCTGAGTTCTGTTGGAATGTCTAAGGTCTGCGGCCAAAATGTTTGCGTGTTCAAGGCTTAAATACACCCTCCAGAATATTTTCACGATAATATTCGGCATTTATTCTAATGCCACGGTCGATTAATACGATCGGAGAGGGACCATCGGCTGTTATGGCGGTCCACACCATCACCATAGCCGGCGCTGAGTTCTAGTGGCCAACCGAAGGTGCACATTTTCAGCTGACCTCTTTGGCAAGTAGAAACCCGATCATTTTGTTTGTTTACAAACTGCTGGACAACGAATGTTTTCTCATCGGAGACGGAGAAAACCAAATTTGGCATTTCACCACTTTCGCCAAAGCGAAGCAACTCTTTAGCTCTTTTGAGTCTATTTTCTTTCTGTTGCGGTGTAGGTTCTTGCACTTTTTGGAATTTCAATGGCTTTACCCCGAGCTCATTTGTCAATATTTGCCGAATGGAATATTGCGATATGTTCAGCTCACTAGCCATTTTTCGACCACTGCGACGCGAGTTTCGATAAAGTCGCTTCTTTACTTTTCGAATCATTTCTGCTGATGTTGCTGTTTTTTTCGGTCCACTTCCTTGACGTAGGGATACGCTACCAGTATCATACAAAAGATTTATTCACATCTAAATGCTGGAGTGCTCCAACGATAGCCACTTGTGGTTTTCCAGCCAAATATAAAGAAATCACATTATCGCGCTTGAATTCCATTCCGAATAACTTTGTTTCTGAAAAATTCTCAGCAAAATGCTTTTGTACGCTTCTAAACAATATAATGAGCTGTCACTGGAATAATTTTAACAGCTGCTGGACGATTGGCTTAGAAATGACAGCAATCTGAAGTTGGTTGCAGTTTTTCCATCTCACCCTGTATATTCTGTCTAGCAATATGGCTAAGGGTATAAAAATATGAGTCATAAAAATTTTCAAAATCATATGACTAAGTACATTCCTCGCTAAAAGTAATGCCTTGAATTTCGCACCCATTGTGTGTCATCGTCACTCTCTAACGAAAATCTCTGAATTTTATTTCTTTATTTTACAAAAAAAATCCTTCAAATTTTAAAATATTTTTTTGGGGGGATCACAATAAATTTCCAACAAAATTTGAAATTGAGAACATTGTTTTTTTTTTTTTTTTTTGTTAATCACTTTATTTCTATTAACGATAAATGCAAATCTCTTTTTCATTTCATTTAAAAACGCATTTCACAACAAAAACTAAACGAAATGTATCAGTTTTAAATGCAGTCAGGCAGAAGGCGGAACACACTTACCATTCATAAAATATACGACCAAACAAGTGGTAATGACCGAAAAAATATGAACTAAATTTTAGAGATCGTCTAAATTACATTTTGTTTGTGAATGTGTGTGTGTGTGCATCGCTATCAGACAGGCGGACAGTCCGTCCCGCATAAATACGAAAAGCAATGTATTGTTGTAAGGACATTTGCCAGTAGTCCGCACATAATTAAAAATTTTAACGATATTCTAAATGGCCGACAGATTTTATGGGAGAATGACATGCGCATCCCTCAGAGAGAAGAGAGAGAGAGAGGGGAAAACAAAATAACCACAAAAACAATAATCCAACTGCAAATGCCGTTTTTCATTTTTTACAAAGAAAACAGAGACGTCATTGGAGATTAAAAAAACGAATTGAAATACAGACGTCCGTCTACTTGGCCGTTTGGCTAATTTGAATTGTTCCAACTCGTTGCCATTCCATAAGCATCAAATAATATATAAACATCTGTTGTGGGAAAATTAGCAAAAGTTTACGTATGTTCGATAACTAGGCCTGAAGAAGGCCTTACAATGTTGATATACAATTTTTCGAGAGAAGGAATTGATTTTTGAAGTCAAAATATGTGACAACTTTTTATTTGTCCGAAGTCAAAGATTTTCGGAAAAGAATAATATTTTTAAATTTAATTTTTATAAAATTCAAGATATATGAAATATTTCCAAAATTTTTAAAATATCCAAGATTTTTGAATAAACTTTTTTTAAGTCCACGATTTTTTAATTATTTTTTTATATTCACGATTTCTGAATTCCTTATAATTCGTCGATTTTTCGATAATT